CCACCCACCCACCCCCCAAAATAGCATTTGCCCCGCATTATCTGCTTCCTTCGTAAACTTTAATTTACCGACATGCAATGAACCTGCTTCAACCAGAGGGTCTTTTTTGTTCCCGGAAACCATTAAGCAAAATCGACTGATGACCAACGCAGACCCCGACTCCCTACCCCGACCCCCAGTCCGAAGACTCCAATCAATGCTACTTCGTGAGGGCTTTTAATTTTATTTAAGTAACATCGGACCAATACGTCAGAAAGAAAGAGAAGGGGGGGCAATTCAGTTTTGCACCTTTGAACTGGCAACAGGTCCTTCCCTGGGAATCCCGGGCGCAGTTTATGCAAAAATCAAGAGCAAACCGTAGATTCGCAGCGCTCGCTACAGCCTACAAGGGAAGAGGGGCATTGTCGCTTGACCCCTTCTCTGGACCGTCCAGACGAAGTCCACTGGGGGGAGGCGTCGTCCCTCTCTCTGCTTTTTACCAGCTCACAACAACCCTGCGACATAGACCAAGGAGAGAGAGAGAGAGAGGAAGGAAGGAAAGGAAGGAAGGAAGGAAGGAAGGAAGGAGAAAGAAAAAAAAGAAAAAGAAAGAAAAGAGAAAAGAAAAGAAAAGAAAAGAAAAGAAAAGAAAAGAAAAGAAAAGAAAAAAGAAACTCCAAATCCATCAGTCAGATCGCTCCGTCTTCTGCTGCCCTCTTCGCGCTTTAATCCGCATTTCTCCCCTGGATCTCGTTCAAAGAGAGAGAAATGGATTGAGGTTTCAGCGAGGCGGACAGAGTAGCAGAAAAAGCCTAATAGCAGAAAAATATAAATTTTAGGGAGGGATGGGCGCTTAGAAGAAACGGCGTTATAGCTCTGGGATTCCCCGCTGTCCTCCCGTCTCGGTGTTCACCAGACCCAGCCTTGCGTCGCTCCCCCACCAAGCGAGACCCGCCAGGTACTGTCACCTGTTTCCTGCCTCCTTTTGCTGTATAGCAAACCTCATCACACTGAGTTGGATTGACTTCTGAGTAAGTGGGCCAAAGACTGAGTGCCTCTGGGACGCTGAGCGCTGCCCTGAGGCTGCTGGCGTCTGACAATCAGGTTCCTTCCGCCTATAAACCCAGTTTGGTTCATGTGGGTGATATCTCTGGCTCCATCCATCCATCCATCCATCCATCCATCCATCCATCCATCCCACTTCTCTTAATGAAGTAGATAAAACTGTCAGACAAGGTATTTGTGGCCCAATCCTTCAAAACAACCCTCCATCTTCAGGGGATCCTATTCCTAACTAAAAGTATATCAAACCCTGCTTTGAATACTTGTTTCTTTCTCTTTTTTCCAGATGTTTTTGCCCGCATTGATCGTACTTGCAACTGACTCAGGGGTAGGGTTTGATTTGAAGACTTAAGGAGCAAAGTGAAAACATGGGAAAATTCATATAGATGTATGGGTGCGTGTTTGTATAAATAGATGTCTGGGTGTGTGTCTATATACTCTGTGTGTGTATGTGTGTACCATGCGTGTGTGCATATGCATACAAGATGTACCAAAAGACAAGACCCATAGAAAATTTAGGATAGAATTATTTATAATTTATTATATAATTACCTAGAATTTTCAATTTGGTTGCCATTTTCTTCCAAAACACTTCCTTATCCATTTGAAGCATGACCTTTGAACATTCCTAAATACAACAGTGTAACATGTTGAATGAATGAATGAATGAATGAATGAATGAATGAATGAATGAATGAATGAAATATATTGTGATCGCCCTATAGAAGTTGATGGGTAATTATTGTTCAGTTTACTCGCAAAGCATTTCTCTGTCATTTAACCGGCAACGTCTCTGTCCTTTTCAAAGTGTGTGTGTTTTATTTTTGAGAGGTTTCTGGGGCATTTGCAAGGGGCCATGCTGTGTGGCATTCACAGGCTATTTGTTTCTTCAGCTTGCAGCATAGGAAAGCCATTTTTAGGGACAGCTTGGTGCTGTAAGGGAGTTCAGTGGAACCTCCATTTATAGGAAGGCTATATCTGTGGATGCAGACTGCTCGGGACAAACATCAGGGAACCAATTGTCTGGACCTAAGGGGGTGCAGTGGATGGGGAACCTGTTGGAAATATTGTGTGTGTGTGTGTGGGGGGGGGGAATAATAAGCATCTTTTGGGGAAGCTTTTAACTCTGTCCCAGCACAGCAGGCAGCCCAATTTTCTATCTGCTGCATAATCACTAAGGTTTGATCCAGATTAATAGGTAGGCCAATGCAGGATTCATCAATAATCATTTGGCAACTTTTAATCGAGGGACCGAGCGATCTCACTAATGCACCACCAGATCAGTGCAGATTTCTTTACTGTATTTCAAAAGATACAAGGACTTTATAGAAGATCTTATACAGGTAGGCAGCATTCGGTCTTAGAGTGGAATGCCTCTTCCAGGGGAATGCCTCTTTTAGGAGAATTCATCCCCAAAGGCAAACATGAACTTTAACTGAAAATCCAGGGTCTGTTTCCACTTCTTACTGGAGTGTATCTTATTCAAAGAAGGAGTAGGGTAATTATTCAATAATGCACTTCATAATGAATAAATTAATTGGTGGAATAAGAGCACATCCCACGATGCTCTGATTCAGAAATAAGTTCCCATTAATCTCTGTGAGGCATAAGCTGAACAGGCGCATGATTTCAGCCCCAAATTCATGCCATTTCATGACTACCTTGAGATTTTCTTACTCGAAGCCACCCCAAAGTGGTTTCTTTGATTTGGCTTAAACCCAGCCAATTGTGGTTTGCCTTGGAAACTGGGGCTAAGTAACCCCCTGCTTAGTGCAATCTGCAAAGGCAGCTTAAAATAAGGCGTGAGGGCCCTCAGGCACCAGAGGTCGAGATATGCCAAAATAAATTCCCACTGAACAGAGCAGAGATCAAATTAATAAGTTGGGTTACTCTGAAATGTACTGAAGGAGTATACCGTAGTAGCCCATTTTCTGAACTTGCATTCATTTATTAATTTTCTGACTAACACTTAGCAATAAAATGGGATTGGATTCTGACCAGCCCATTTTATGGAAAGGTAAAAAGCTGATGCTTTTTAATAAAAGTGGTTAGTTGGAAAAGGTGCTAGGAGATCCCTTTGGACTTCTCATAGCGTGATAGGTTCATACACGATCTACATTTTCAAAACACCCAAGCTATCTATCCCTTTCACACACACACACACACACACACACACACACACACACACACACACACAGCATATTCCACGGGTTTTTTGCCCCCTAGAAATCCCCGGCGCGACCGTCCTTTTTCTTTAAAACGCTACAGCCCCATCCACACCGAATTCCGCCGCGTCCGAAACCGCTTCTAAAATTGGATCGCCCATCCGCACGTGGGACTTTTCCCGCGATCGTGTCGTTCTCGGGGGTGGTGGGAGGGCCCCGAGAGTGCGAGAAAGACAACAGAGAGAGAGAGAGAAGGGGGGGGGCTCGCCCGAAAGCGATCGCCTCTCTCCTTTTTAGGGAGATCCCCATCCGCGCGCGGATGGAGGACCCTGAACGAGGTCTTTGCTCCGTCGCCTTCCAAGCCAGAAGTCCGGAGAAGGGAGGTCGTGGGAAGAGGTGTTTCGGTTGATGGGGACTGGCTGGCTGGCTGGCTTGTCCCGGGAAGAGCCGTTCCCTTGGACGGAGCCCTATGGTTGAGGTTTGGGTTCGTCGCCTAAGCACAAGTGCAAGAGAGAAATCTGATTTTTTTTCTTTTTCCCTTGTGTGCTCTGTGTGTGTGTGTGTGTGTGAGTAAGGGGGTTATCTCCCTTCGCTTTCCCTTTCAGATGGCCAAAGTGGGCACCGTGTTTGGGCCTTGGAGATTAGCGCTGCTCTCTTGGCATCCCTGAAGCGATTGATTAAAGGAGGGGATGTGCGGGAAGGGAAAGTGGCTTTCATCTGGGGGAAGGGTTTGATCTGTTTTCCCTTGGAACCTGGCTTGTTTTGAGGGGGGGGGGGTTGAAGCTCTCTGGTCTGGTCCAAAAGGGGAGGAGAAAGAAAGGAGCAGGCTTTTGAGTTCCAACCAAGCTCTTCAGCTGGGAAAGCAGTGAGGGAGGAAGAGTGTGGTGTCCTCTGAAAGTTGGTGGGGTTGGAGATTGCCACCATGACCAGCACTGAGGGGGGAGGTTTGGTGTAATGATGTGAATTTCAGCCAGCTCCTTGAAAGAATAGCCCAGTGCTGTAGATATTGGCAGGAATCCCACAGAGTAGAATGGGATTTTTGGACTGGTGGTTTCAACACAGGCAAACTCTTTATTCAGCGCAGGTCTTCAATATTAGTGGCAAAGCATAGATGTTGTCTTAAATCCAAAATAAAACACAAATTCAATTCTTCTGCAGACATCCTTTTATCTGTGGGGTACACCCAACCTCCTTACTCATGGTTAAGCACACTCACAACACCCAGGTTCCAGTGTGATGGGGGGGGGGGGTTGCATTTCAGCCTCTTGTTTAATACAGCTCACGTCTGAATGCTTTCACTCAGACCTGGGAGATCATCTTTCCCTGCAAATAGAAAATCAGCATTTGAGGCTGAATTGATTTTTCTTCCTAGGAGTTCCAGTTAGTGGCGTAAAGGGAGATGTCCTCGCGTAGGCAATAACAGAGAAGAAACAATCAAATTAAGGAGTTTAGTCAAGCCTTGGAGAAATACATGGGGGGGGGGCAGGGAGGAGTAAAAGAGAATCCTGTGATCCAAATTTTAAATTACAAATGTTTACTCAGCCCACTGGATGGGACCTCAGTACTGACCTGTGTTTACACACTCCTGCAGCCAAGATCTTGTAGAATTCAGGAAACAGAGCACCCAACTCGTGACATTTCAACCTAGACATTTCAAATCCTCTTCTCAAAAAGGCCATTTTTTCCTTGAGTGAGTACAGCCTGCTCTTTCTAAAGGCAGGCGTGACACATCTCAGGCTATGAGCATTTTAATTTCACCCAGCCTTTAGATGGAGAGAGATTAATGGGCGGCCACAGTGTGTACGCTTGTGTACACATACAACTGTGTATCTTAGAAAAATAAAAAGAACCAGAACCAAGTATTTCTTTATTCCATATGCACAGGCACACACAGAGAAAGTCATTTAGGTTTGCCTGGAACCGTGATTTTAAAAAATGGAGGCCCAGAGAATCTCTACCCACCACTATATCTTATTCTGTAGCATTTTAAAAAAGGGGGGTTTAATGGCAGTGGGAAGGAAGGAAGGAAGGAAGGAAGGAAGGAAGGAAGGAAGGAAGGAAAGAAAGAAAGAAAGAAAGAAAGAAAGAAAGAAAGAAAGAAAGCCTTTTTTTCTTTTTCTTTTTCTTTTTTGCAGAATCCAGAATCAAAGCAACAGTTGAGATCAAACAGCTGGTGAAATTTGGAAACAGAGAGGAAAACTCTTAAGGATCCAAAATTCTCAGCTGCCTTTCTGCTTGGACCCTATGCGGGATCAATTATTTAAGCCTATCTAGACCTCGTTTCTAATAAACAGGCATAAACATTGAAGGCCACACAAATCTCCGTGCAGAAAACACACACGAACACACAGACAAGACACTTTTGAATGGATCTCTGGGTGTACACTAACTCCCCCTGGATTTTAATGGGAAGTGTACTGCTGAGAAGAAAATCTAACCTATCAACAGAGTATTTGATTGCAGATCATTACTCGAAATTCTGTCCCATCGACTTCATAGAAGTAGCTTCTGAGTTGACCCTATGGAATTGCAAGCTTGATTTTAACTAACTACATATATTTTGGATGACTGGCCCTAGTATTAGAATAGGCACTGAGAAGAAAGTGTCAAAAATGTGTCATTTAAATCCGTTACGTGGAACATGAGAAGAAAAAAAAATGTTTCAAAATCATCCCTTCTTTTTTTGGACCAAAAGATTTTAGCTTTCCATCCCTTTATTTGAGAACCAGCCCTTGATTTTAGAGGGTGTTATTTCTCACCCTGGTATTTCACTCCCACGTTTATAGGATGCTAAAAATGGCAGATTTCGCTCACTCCTTTCTCAGAAAGTTGTAAAGTTTCGCTCTGCTTTGGAATTCAGGAAAATTCATTTAGGCTCTAGAAGAGGACAGGACAGGGCAAAACTATACTATGGATTTTAATGACATTTATTTCTCATTAAATCTGGAGTTTAATGATACATTTAAATTCAATTTAAATTTAATGGTACATTTAAAGGCAGTTTGCTAAAAGCATTTGTGTAAATACATGTCATAAAGAGACTGGTTTTTAATTAGTGGCTTCCAGGAAAAATAATGTTTGAATGAAAAGAGGGGAAACTTAACCTCTTAAAAAAGCACCACATTCTTTTTTACCACCTTCTTTAAAGCAACATTTATTCGTGTATGTTGGTGTGTGCGAATATTTGCAGAACAATTGTCCTGTAGTCCAACTAATAATTTTCTTCAAGTTTTTGCTGACTTACAAATGGCTTGCAGGTTTATCAGCTATTATGACGATACAGCAATTCAGTTTCTTATTGCTCAAAAAACTATTTGAAGTGGAAGGAAGTGGAAAATAAATGAATACATCAAATAAAGTTTTGGTTAGCTCCAGTTAAATTTCTTTCAACAGCTTGGAGTCCGTTGGGATCCTGAGGTCAAGATCAAACAGAAAATTGGTTGATTCGAAATTTATTTCAATACTCAGAATTTATGTGTTGAGTAAACTTAATTCACCATTCGATTTATATGGGGATATTCTCAAGGCAAGGGTGCGAGATGATCCAGAAACCTAACATTTCCAACAATTTCAAGAAGCCTCTTTCTAAGAAAAGAGAGAGGAATCAACAGAAATTAAGATACTCTGTGTATCTGGCAATTGTTACAACTTGTTGGTTCTTCTACTCAGCCAGGCAAAACCATGTTAAAAAAAAAAAAATAGGGTTGCAGATCACAAGTTTGTGAGATTTGTCATTACACTCCTACTGCCAGTTAATAGAAAGATCATTTTCCAACTGTAGTTTGTACTTGTTTATTGTATCTCACCATTAAATATAAATAGAATTAAAACAAGAACAGTCTCCAACTTATTCGTCTTAGGCTGTTGCAGTTCATAGTTTTGGGAAAGGAATCCTGTTGAATTCAATGAACTTACCCCACCTCTCCCCTCCCCTCTCTTCAGCTGGAATTTAATATTTTAGTGATTGGGCTCTACACAGGTGGGGCCCGATTCCAGGGGGTGAAGTCCAAAGGGTTGAATAGATATAGGGCATAGGACTGTCGCTTTACAAGACAACGGGCTTGTAGCAGAAGAGAAGACGGGGGAAGAGATTCTCTACATGTTGAGAATCTGCTTATTTATCACTGCTTATTTATCAGAGCGGTATGCCACCCGGCGCCCAGCAATTCTGAATTAAATCAACCTCACTTAAAGTGGAGTCCTAAAAGGAGATGGAAAAAGTATTCCCTAAATGGTTTGGTTTGGTTTTCCAAAGCAGGAGCATTTGAGAACGATTTACTTCTAAAACATCCCGTGCCCCTCCATGAGATTCTGTATATTTTCTTTGGCAAGGGTTATTTTCAGTTATTTTATTTCATTGTCCACTTCTTAGCTTAACCGCTGGCCTGGCAGATTTTGTTGTCTTTTTGGGACGGGATGCAGGATAGGTTGTGTTGCTCACTTTAAATAAACATATTAAAAAGGATATAATTATTGGGGGGGGGGGAAACCTACACTTTCCATCCAAGCCCATTTATCTGGAATGAAGCTTCATCTTCTTTTGTAAAGGTTTAAGTTTTTGTAGCTCTCTGTCACACACACACACACACACACACACACACACACACACATTTACTGAGAGCTATGTTGATTTCCTGTTAGATATGAGATGTGGCTCAAAATATACACACAGCATACACACACATGCCCGCACAAACATATAGAGAGACAATACTTGCATACAGAGTAGTAGTTATGTTCATCCACTGGAGGGGGGACATCCAAAACTAAATACTTTTTATGAGAAACAGCTACAACTCTGTGAAGGTTAGCAGAGTCCTATGGATATTTTATGGTGTAGCGGTTAAGGCACCAAGCTAAAAATCGGGGGGCCATCAGTTCTAGTCCTGCCTTGGGCACAAAGTCAGCTGGGTGACCTTGGGCCAGTCCTCTCGCTCAGCCCTAGGAAGAAGAAGAAGGCCAGGGCAAACCCCTTCTGAGATTTTGCCAAGAAAACTGCAGGGACTTGTCCAGGCAGTTGCCAGAAGTCCGCACGGACTCAAGGGCAACCAAAAATAAATAAATGGATTTTAAAAACGGATATTTTGCTCAGCACTAAAACACCTTGCAGTGAATTTTAGAAAGACTTCACGCTGAATAACCACATTCATCATGATGGTAGGTACTCTCTAGTCCCCAAGTGAAAGTGATCCATTCTTAACTATTTAAAGTCCAGAATAAATAGACCTGAGCTTCCCCTAAACTCAGTGGGGGTTACTACTTAGTTCCTGGGTTTTAGAGTTCTGGCCCTGTGGTTCTGTATTAGTCAAGCTTTCGCAAAAAGCCCTGGCAATGGGAGATCCTGCCACGGATGCGAGAATAGGACCATGGGCTTGCTTTTAGAGACCTTTTCTTATCATTCCCCCAACCTCACCTTTCGGGCAAAGGCGAGAGGTTTGTGCCCAGAGGGCCCAGAAGAGGCGAGAACCTTTGAGCGGTTCTTTCGCAAATGCAAGGCTGCCTTTCCGCAACCCCGTTTAGGTTGGTTGTGGGGGGGGGGGCACCCATTCCTCCTGCTTTTGAAAAATGAAAGACTAAAATAACCTGACCGCAAGGACCGGTTTGGGGCTCGGCCACCCCCCAAAAACTAACTAAAGTTAAACCTTGGTTAAGCTAATCAGGGGTAGTGAGTTGGGGAAGAAACAAGAGAAACCAAAAGCCAAAAGGTTATTTCAATTTCACCAAGCAAAGCAGCAAGTTTTAAACCCCCCCCCCACTTTTTTTCTCTTTATCCCCCC